GGTTAGCTTTAAATTAACAATAGGTTAATTGGAGTAGGATTACGTGTAAAAAATTTGTAAATTTTTAATAATACATTGAATTTTAAATAAATAAACGTGATTTCAAGGCCTCACTTTAGCAAAAAAAAAAAAAAAAAAAATAGAAGTTTATTACTAATACTAATATGTCTGATTTGTTTGGACAAGTCACGTGATAAATACGACAATTATTAATAAAATTTTTCTTATTATTATTATTATATTATTACATCAAAAAAATTATATATATACTTAATCATGTCAAAGGAGCAAACCATCATCCACTCAGTCCTCAAAAAACGTACAATAATTCATATTGATATGGATTGCTTTTACTGTCAGGTTGGTAAGTAAAAATGCTTTTTTAATTTTTATAATAATATAATTCGCGACTTTCTCAATATCCAGTATTTAATTTAATTATTTATATTTTGAAAATTTTAAAATTATAGAACAAGTAAGGCTAGGAATTCCTTCAACTTTGCCGGTAGCTGTACGACAATGGTCTGCTTTAATTGCAGGTTTAATATAATAATAATTGTATATTTTTATTATGATTTATATATATATATACAGTATATATAATCCAAAATTCATTTTATCCAGTTAATTATGCAGCACGTAAAGCGGGTATAAAAAAAGTATCCAATATTCAAGACGCACTTAAAATATATCCTGGTAAAAAATATTTTTTTAATAATTAATTATTGTTTTAATCAATTCTTTTGATCATATTTATATCAACTAAAGGTTTGATTACTAAAAAAAACCTTTATAGGATTGAAACTTGTTCATGTCGCAACATATGCGAATGGTGATCCAGAACCTAAATATCACCCAAATCCAAGTTATGGTACACATAAGGCTTCGTTAGACGTATATAGAAATGCAAGTTTAAGAATTTTTAAAATATTTATGAGATATTGTAATATTGTACAACGTGCTGGTGTTGATGAAGCTTATCTGGACGTTACAAATATCGTTAATCAAAGAATAATAGAAAGATATCCAAATATTTTATTATCTGAAAATTTAAATGAAGCTCCTCCTCCTCCTATTTTAGATTGGAATGGATTAGGAGTGTTGTATGAAGGTCAAATAAATAATGATATTGAGAATAATAAACAAAATTTTAGTTTAGATCAATGCTCAAATATTAACGAATCAAAAGGTTGGGATGATATGCAACTTTATGTTGCAGCAGAAATATCAAAAGAAATTAGGGAAACTATTTTCAATGAATTGGGATACACATCTTCTGCAGGAATTGCACATAATATGACATTAGCAAAATTATGTTCAGCATTAAATAAACCAAATATGCAGGTAATGACTTGATATAATAGCATTGCAAATAAATATTTTCATGTACTTAAAACTATTTTTATTTATAAATGGGTGGGGGGGTTTTTTTTTTTCTTTACAGACTATTCTACGATCAAATCAAACATTAGGTTTTATGCAAAATTTGTCTTTTAAAAAAATTCGTAAACTTGGTGGTAAATTGGGAGCTAAAGTTGGTAATATTTTGAGAATAGAAACTGCAGGAGAATTATGGTTAATGATTTATTCCAAGTGTATTTTTTCTTTAAATATAAAGAAATAATGTTTAATTGGTTGATTGATTAATCAATTGTAGGTGCTATTCAGTAAGTGAATTACAAGCAAAATTTGGGATGGAAAATGGTATTTGGCTTTACAATATATGTAGAGGTGTTGATGGTGAAGAAGGTTAACGTTTATTCTTGATTTCTTTGTTCATATTTAAAAAATATATATATATACATTGATGTATCTTTATTTTATTAGTTGTCCAAAGGAATATTTCAAAATCAATGATGGCAGCCAAATCATTTAAACCACCATTAAAAAATTTCTCACAGATTGAACATTGGTGTAAAATTTTAAGCTCTGAATTATATAAAAGACTTTTAGATGATTATGAAATAAATAATAGATGGCCAAAAACCCTTGCAGTAAATATAAAAAAAATTCTTGATTATTTTATTAATTAATAATCCATTATTTATTGTATTAAATATTTAGTTTAATATATATATTTTTTAGATACATTATAAATGTATTAATGATCCAACACCGCATTCTAAGTCTTGTCCATTTCCTATTCGATCAGAAGTCAATTCACCTGACATGATTTCTAAAAAACTATATGATCTTTTTGGAAATTCAGATAATTTGTTTCCATGTTCAGGATTGTCAGCTTCAGTTGCGGGTTTAATCAAAGATCAATCTATTGGAACAATGGATATTTCTAAATTTATAACAAAAAATTTGCCAAATAAGAATGTTTTTTCTGGAAGGAACAGTAGTAATAATAATAATAATGGTGTTGTTGCTATTGATATTGATGACAATATTGAAAGTAATTTTAATGATGAAATGGAATCAGACTCTTTAATTGGTCAAAAGCTTTCAATCACTCAAGAATCACTAATTAATCAACGCCCTGTAATCAACTCAAACAGCACCACACCTAATGAATCTTCTAATTCTCAAATGCTTTCCAAAAATGTTCAATCATCATTACCATCATTGTCACCTTCTCGGTTGAGAGACATCAATGCAAATATTAAAAGATTGAAACAAACTAGTATTTTATCACATTTCAAAATAAATAGATTGTCAGGAACCAATAATTTGGCCAACTATAAAAATAGCAATATCAATAGCAATGACATTGATGATGATGATGATGGTGATGATGGTGATGATGATAATGATAATTTGATTAGTAGTAACAAAAAAGTAAAATTATCAAGATCTAACTTACAAAAATCTTCGAATTTAAGGGAATCTTCCACTTCAAATTTGAAAACTACAGGATCACCCAAGATGAAGTCCACCACTACTACAAGATTAAAATCACCATTAAAGAAAATACCATCCAATTATACCATCCTTCAATTTTTCACTAGATTAGATCCGACATTATTTATCAGATGTGAGAAATGTTATAAACCAATACCTAATAACAAATTAGCTGAACATTTAGAGGATTGTAGTAATAGCATTACAATGAGATCACAAACTGAATTTAATAATAATAATAATTTAAGAAAAAGAAAAATGGATATTAGAAATTATTTTCAATTAGAAAATAATAATTGATATATTTATATCAAATTTTTGAAAAAAATTTCAATGACTTGAAACAAAAATTATATAATTATTATTTTTCTTTTTTTTTTACATATTCAATAAAATAATCATTATTCTTTATTATTCTTCTTTTACATGTTAAGAACTAATGCAAATTAACTTGAAATATTAATCATTTATTTATGGACCATTTGTAGCTGGATTATGAAAGAGAGTATGATCTCCATCACCCCATGGATAAGGCTGATTGATTGATTAATAAGAATGTATTGGTTAGTTGGTGAATGATTTAGTAAAGCAGTAAAATACATATATGTGAAAAAAATAATTTATTATTTAGCAAATTGTTAATAGTTACTTTAAGTCTTATACGTTGATACTCATAGGGTGGATGTTCTATTGGTTCTGGAGGGTGTTCGTGTAAATGAGCTTCATGTTCTTTTTCCATTTTAAGAGCATTTATAGTAGTTAAAACAAGTGCTGGTACACAACCATATATTGAAATTTTTCTCCACATGTTTGCAGCATCTTTTTTTTGCAATTAAATAGTCACAATTAAATAATAGTCACAATTAAATAATAGTCACAATTAAATAATAGCACAATTAAATAATTGAAATCGTAATCATGTTTATATTTCAGAGAGGGAATATTTTTTTCCTTTTACCAAGCGATACATATTTACCTTTTGCATGCTCTTCAATTTTTTGTTGTCGAATAGCAAAAGATTCTTCTTCAGTAGCTGTAGCAAAAGTACGACGAGTTAATGATTTATTATTATTAATTAAACAACGATTTGTGTTGAAATTAAGGAAACGTTTAGTCAAGATACGAGTAGCCATATTTATTTTTTATTTTTTTTTTTAAAAAATTTTTTAATTAATTGAATTAATTGACAATGATCTACAATGAAGATTTTCATATTGCATGTTAAATAACATCCGATTGTTTTTGCGCTTACATGATGCTTCCATAATATGTAAACAAAAAAAAATTTTTAAAAAATAAATTATAATAATCAAAATAAATTGCAAAATTGTAATTTTATAAAAAATAATATTAAACTTCGAGCTTGAGCCAGCACTTTTTTATATTCAAGTCAAATTGAACTTGAGCTAAGTATAAGTATAAACTTGGCCTGACTTGGCTTGGCTTGTTTGAAGTTTTAAGTTTAAGTGCTCTACTCTAAAGCATAGATCAGTTGCTCTTTCTATGTATTATCTTTATGTGCATGATCATTTTTGCCATGAATATAATTATCTGGAAGTATTGAACAGGAGTTGCATCAATTCAATGCATTGCCATAGAATTAGAACTCAATGATGTCCTCAGAATCTTTTGTTTTCAAGCTCATTAATGACCTTGAGATTTTGATAATATGATTCCTCTATTACAATCTGCAAGACTATTTATGAGGGAGTTTAATGTAATTTATCAAATTTTCTTTAAAGATTCAATTTATTTTCTTTAACCAATTCTAGATTAACTCAAAGAGAAAACCAATTAAAAAGAACAATCAGGAAAAAGGATGGAGAAAAAAACATGAGTTTCTGATAAACTTCACTATGAAAAATGCTTGAAATATAAGAAAGTTTATTTAAATCAATTAAATTATATTTTTTATATATATTTTACAAAATTAAATAAATCTTTTTTATGTTCTAATTTGATATTTTCCTGCCCTTGTTAAACTTCTTACACCCTTAAATACAAATATAAATATTATATAAAAATCAATCAATTGGGAATTTTTTTTAGAAAATCACTAATATATTATATTTTACCTTGTAAGGTTTATATGATTCATTAAAAACTTTTAAAGTGTCAACTTTTAATCCTGAAATTGCATACATGCTTATTTGAAAATCAAGTATAATTGTATGACCTGATTCTACTATTTGTTCACTATTAATAATTTTGATAGTTGATTAGGGAAAGCAGGAAAATATTAAAGTTAAAAAAATTAAAAATTAAGAAAAAAATAGTTAATAGTTGCTTACATGCTACTAAAATTACCAGATAACATGGGAGTTCTATCTTTAGGCATTATTTTACCTAAATCCCATTTTATACACTTTTTTAAAGAAATATATTTTAGAATATGATTTTTTAAAAAAAAAAAGAATTTAAAGTAAAAATTATTAATACCTTTGTTACAGGATCAAATATATAAGAACCAAGATTACAAGTGGCATTGACATTTGTCACAGATTTTGCTAATGGAATTACTAATAATACATTTTCGATAGATTTATCATCTGTATTTCTTACATTAATTGTTATATCAAATTTACCTAACAATTTTGTACATACACATATGTGTGTAGAGATAAGTATAAGTTATTTTATGTTGCAAAATCTTAATACAATATGATATATGTGTGCATGTTTATAAGATTGCATACCTCCATGATCAGTGAGATGGAATTGTGGCTTTACATGGATTGGCAATGATTGATGATATGGTAAATTAACTCTAAAAATAAGGAATACACAAAAAATATTTTAAAATATTAATTAACAAATAATTATATATTATATTATACAAATGTTTGTTACCTGTAACTCATCAATTTAAAATGTTCATCAGGTGGCACAAAAGAGAGAATTCTTTCACTTTCAAATTTTTTATATCTAACGCATGGATGAAAACTACAATCATCTAAAACTTTTGGATTAACAAAACTGAGTGTAAGATCTGGCATACCTTTAATTTATATTAGAATGCATCATAATTTTAATATTTTGCTATGCATTTATACTTTTATTTTTATTTTAATAACTTAAATTAATTGAATTATTTTTTTATTGTTTTTACCTGATAAACGACAATTTGATTGGATAACACCATGAACTTCTGATGATACTATTGCACCATTACTAAATAAAAGTTTCAGAAAATATGTTAATAATATTATTATAACAACTGTAATAATAAATGAACATACATGTAAATAATAATGTATATTACCTATCTATAATTGCATCAATTTCTTCTATAATATCAAAATATATTTCATTATTAGTGTATTTTACACCTGCTTTTCTCCAAGGTATGCTTGATATTGTACTACCATTAGGAACATGCTGAACAACACTAATACCAATATATAAGATGTTATAATAATATTCTATTTATAATCTTATAATAATTTTTGATAATAAGTATAATAGAATACCTTGTGACACCTGCTACTTGACTTATAACTTTATTAATAATATTTGGTGGTGCAATCATCTCTCTTAAAGCATTAGGTTCAGTTGTCAATGGATACCCTTTTCAAAATTACCATATTGAATTTTTTAGATCAATTAGAGCTATGTTATTATAATAATATCCAATAAGTATTATATTTATATTCATTAATACCATAATCCATCATTTCTTCTAAAAGCTATATATAATTATATAAAAAAACTATTAATTCAAAAATAAAATTATTAATTTAAAAATGACAATAATCTTAAGATACCTGATAAACAATATCAAAATTATCTTTGATTGACAATTCTGACAAATCACCAAAATATTCAGTAAAGATGTCAGCAATTCGATGAAGAAATTCAAGAACTAGCAATGCATCAACTAACAAAAGAAATATATGTAAAGAAAACTTGTTCAAGCAAAATCCTTTACAAAAAAAAACATTCATTCAAAACACCTTCATTTGAAACAGGACTAAGGAATGTCAAACTAGATCGATAAATATGCACCAATTGATACTTTGGAGTTGAAATTATTGGTAATAAATC